GGCCTCAGAGGGCCCAGCGCAGCAACTGGAATTTATAGTAAATCCCAGTTCCTAGGATGGTGTTTTTGCCTTTAAAATTAACATTTTACATTTCAGAAAAATACGCTGAATCAGATCCAGATACCTCAAATTAGTCAATAAACAGAAAAAAATTAATCTAAGAACTAATGTTCCTTTTATCCCTAATTTGCTTCTAGATGGAGCTGAAATGTATTGGTTCCTCCTACAGCTTCAGTCAAAATGTCCTCAGGGATTTATGTCATCAGGACACAGTTGGACCCCAAACTCTGTGAGGATTCTGTGTCTGCCCCCAAGTCCCTGCTGCTGTGTGCTCAGGCCTTGGGGTGTCCACATCCCATCATTCCAGCCAGTGGCTCCAAGCCACTTTGCTTTCCTTCTGAGAGTGGCACTGTGGTATACACTAGACAGAAGGTGCCACCATGATCGGCTTACTCTAGTCCTGGTTAAAGATGTCACTGTTCCACAGAGGAACAAGAAAAGAATTTATCATGGCAATACAGGATTTCTTGTGAAGGATTATTTTTTAATTTTGAGATACAAAAGGATCCAAAACGGCCATATGAAATGGTAGTATTAACATACTGGTTCAAAAACACAGGATTATGAGGCCACCACACTGCCAACTGTAGAAAGGCAGAACATCCAACAGTAAATAGAACACAATCTCATTTTAAAGATACGAAAATATTATGTTATCTATGAATGGTAGTATTATTGATGGTTTTTAATTTCATTTTCCACTGTTTAATGGTGATGGACTTCTAGGGCAAAGAAAAAAACGTTTTGCTTATGATGCTACATAGAGCAACATTAAGGATAAAATTCCTTTGGGATGTACTTCAATAGCCAATTGGAATTTCTAACATTTAGAATCACAGACTGTGCAGAAGAGCCAGTGTAGCAGGCCTGAGGCTGCTGCTCTTTGAAGCATCTGCTTTCTAGGTCAGTCCTAGGCTGGCATCTGGGAACTTGGATTTCAGGTTCATTCCCAAACTGCCAAAAGCGGCTTATCATACCTAGAATGTTTGTACAAACAATGTGGTTTCTTTATGCTGAGCGTCTGCTTTCCTTCTGGGAGTGGCACTGTGGTATACACGAGACAGAAGGTGCCACCGTGATCGGCTCCTAATCAAGCCCTGGACACCGAGTCTCGAATGAGCTTCCCTGGTGGACAATAGTTCCCATACGCTGTCACGGCTCGTTGGAGGAATTAAGTGCATCTGTGTGACTCTACTGGGAGAGGAAGCTTGGAAGCTTGAACCTGGACTCCTCTGGGCTTTGCTCCATGTGCCTCTTCCCTCTGCTGATTTTGCTGTGTCCTGTCATAGTCACAGTGATTAGGATGGTTCGGCGTTGAGTCCTTTGAGTCCTTTGAGCAAAGCTAAGGGGGGATCTTGGAGACCCACAACACACAGACTCACAGCTAGAATCAAGATCATATCAGTGGCTTTCAGAGTTATTTTCATCCTTGAATCTTTTGTTCATGGAAGCCCAGAGTATAGATTCTCTGGTCAAAATGGGGAAAGGGGCTTGGGATTCCTCCTATCTGCTCCTCCCTACAGGTTCCAACCTATTACTCAGCCATCTCATTTTATATAAGAGTAAACTACAGCCAGAGAGGGTAAGTGATGTGGGGCTAAGCCAGCCCCAGGGACACAGTATGGCACATAGTATGGCATCACAGCTCACAGCAACCTCCAACTCCTGGGCTTAGGCAATTCTCTTGCCTTAGCCTCCTGAGTAATGGGGACTACAGGTGCCTACCACAACGCCCAGCTTTTTTTTTGTTTGTTTCAGTTTGGCCGGGGCGAGGTTCGAACCCGGCACCCTCGGTATATAGGGCCAGCGCCCTACCCACTATGCCACAGGCACTGCCCAGTCTGGGCACACGGCTAAATAAGGCTGGGCCCTCCTGCACACGGTAACCCTGGCTGGCTCTAGGATACCAATAGCAACTTGTCCCATGGAGGGTGATTCAGAGCAGTGAAGCAGACAATTCCATTATAAGAAAACAAAAGTGCAGATGGGCCCTTGCGGAGGAAGCATGTACCATGATGCTCTTGAGTCAAGAAGCCAACCAAAGGGTGGGAAAAAATGTGGCCACAGCTTCCTTGTGTCGCCTCCATTTCCAGCACCATTTCCAGAGAAGATGGACTCAGAAGAGGCAGCTACCTCTCCCATCTGGATTCTGCCAGGTTCACTCTATTCCAGGTGACCCAGATCTTGAGCTCTGATTTGAGGAGATGATTATTTCCCTATTCCGTAGATGCTCAGTGAGTCTTGCCCTCCCCAGTTTCATGCTCGGCATGAAGAAATGAAGGGAAAGTACAGGCTGGGCACAGTGGCTCTCACCTGTAATCCTAGAACTCTGGGAGGCTGAGGCAGGTGGACGGTTGGAGCTCAGGAGCTGGAGACCTCTGAGCAAGACAGCAAGACCCTGTCTCTACTAAAAATAGAAAAACTGAGGCAAGAGAATCGCTTGAGCCCAAGATCTTGAGGTTGCTGTGAGCTATGACACCACTCACAGAACCAAAGGAAGATTCTGTCTCAAAAAAGAAAAAAGAGAGAGAGAGAGAGAGAGTGAAAAAGTACAAATATAAAAGATGCGGCAGAAGGGCGGTGCCCGTAGCTCAGTGGGTAGGACGCTGGCTACATATTCCAGGCTGGCTGGTGGGTTAGACTCTGGCCCAGGCCACCTAAACAACAATAACAAATTGCAATTAAAAAAATAGCCGGGTGTGGCTCAGTGCCACATGCACTAAGGCTGGAGGGTTCGGGCCCAGCCCAGGTCAGCTAACCAACAATGACAACTGCAACAACAACAAAAATAGCTGGGCGCCTGTAGTTCCAGTTATATGGGAGGCTGAGAAAAGAGAATTGCTTAAGCCCAAGAGTTTGAGGTTGCTATGCGCTGTGATGCCATGGCTTTCTAACCCAGGGTGACAGCTAGAGACCCTGTCTCAAAAAAATAAAAAATAAAAAAGATAAAAAAGCTCATAATATGTACCTGGGATCATTAGGCACAGGAGAGGATCCGAGACCATCATGGTTTTCCTAAACTACCTGGGCCTCATCAGGCCCCTGTGAGCTGATGCAACTGAGTCAACCCTGTCACCTGCCACAGTCCCTCGAGTGGCTTGTGTTTCCGACCCATCTAGGCTCTGGCATATCTCCACACGTGCCACGCCTTCTCAAACCTGCTGGTAGTTCTCCCTGGATGCTCCTTCTCCTTTCACTTTTTCCACCTATTTCACTCATGCCCTCTTTGCATTTCAAACATTTATATAGTTAAACTCTGCAGATAGCTCTAATGGATTCTTCATTGCAGAAACAAGCCCAATAAAGCATCCCCCAAACTCCACAGCATGGCAAAGGCATCATGAGCAAATGAAAAGTGAGCAAAGTCTAGACCCCAAACAGCAGGAACCTTGTGACATTAACAAGGGCCCTTCAGATTGATCTGGTGGAGGTAAGTTTCAGCACAGTGACTAGAAAAACAGGTCTTGAAGAGGAGGATCAGAACAGACTTAGGGCTTAGCCTCAACGGGATACTCTTTTTGCCCATGTTAAAGTTTTCTTTCTTTTGCTAAACCAGAAACTCCAAAGAAAAGAAAATCAAAACAAAAAAATATGTTCTTGCCTTTTGGATTCCTGCTTTTTCCCAGTAATGGACATAATACTCAAAAGAGACCGTGGACGAGTTGATATCAAAGGGAGGGGAGAAGTTAATGATGAGGGAGCCTTCTCCTGGAGTCACCCCAACATCTTTTGGAGGCCCAATAGTAACTGAAAAAGAATTATAAACAGAAAACCATATATATACACATACCGGCACACACACACATATATTGTATAATACACTATATTATATAATACAGTATATACAGTTTGTATATAGACACACATGTTTATTTTGTATGCAGTAAGGCTGCATTCACAAGCACAAGACCGGCTAGGCATGGTGGCTCCCGCCTGTAGTCCCAGCACTTTGGGAGGCTGAGGTAGGAGCATTACTTGAGGTCAGGAGTTTGAGAGCAAACTGAGCAAGATTGAGACCCCATCTGTACAAAAGATAGCCAGGCATGGTAGTGAGCACCTGTAGTACCAGCCACTCAGGAAAATGACATGGGAGGATCTCTGAAGCCCGGGAGTTTGAGGCTGCTGTGAGCTATGATGATGCCACTACTCTCTGGCCCCAGAAACAGAGCAAGATCCTATCTGGCAGGGAAAAAGAAGCACAAACTACAAAAGACTGCTCTGAACTCAAGATTTCCTTGCAAGTAAACCTCTAATCAGGGTTCCTCAAACTTTTTAAACAGGGGGACAGTTCACTGTCCTTCAGACAGTTGGAGGCCCGGACTGTGGGCCCTGGAACGAGTCGGCAGCTAAGCAGGACAGGCAGCGGTGGCAAAAACACCCAGTGGACTGGATAAATGTCCTAGGCAGGTCACGTGTGGCCCGCGGGCCGTAGTTTGAGGACACCTGCTCTAAGTGGAAAGTGAGTCCTTGTAGTTGTCCATGATGAGGCCCAGAGCAATCTCTCTGCCCCTCAGGAGACAGCTCAGTGCAAGGAGATCAGAAGATCCCAGAGAAAGGGCTTTCTAGCAGGCATTTAGGATTGTCTCAGTTGAGATTTGGTTTACCAATCAGGAGTCATCTACCTTAAGTAATGCTGCCTAGTGACACTGTTGACATGACACTTTCACTGGATTTCCAGAGGAACAAAATTAGAAGGCTAACCATAGATCAGACTTCCATAGCAGAGTGGGAAAAGACTTTGTTAGCCCTTACTTACAATATACATGTGTATATAAAATTATAACATAAATGAGCAAAAGTGGTATTTGTAAACTTTTTTTTTTTTTTTTTTTTTGAGACAGAGCCTCAAGCTGTCCCCCTGGGTAGAGTGCCATGGCTTCACTGCTGACAGCAACCTCCAACTCCTGGGCTCAAGCGAGTCTCCTGCCTCAGTCTCTCAAGTAGCTGGGACCACAGGCGCCTGCCACAACGCCCAGCTATTTTTTGGTTGCAGCCATTATTGTTGTGTGGCGGGCCCGGGCTGGATTCAAACTTGCCACCTTAGGTGTATGTGGCTGGTGCCTTAGCTGCTTGAGCCACAGGCGCTGAGCCTGTAAACTTTTAAGTACATTTGTCTCCTGAGAAGTGTTGCCATGCCAAGTCTATTTGTTAAGGCTTTTCATGTAGTTCATAGGACAGCCAAGGACTATGACCCATGATGTGTTGTCACTGAAAGGCTATAGCAATTATCAAATACACACATACATTGTATAGTTAACTAGAGAAACTCTGATTAAAGTACAGGTTGGGAGACGGGGCGTGGTGGCTTGTGCCTGTATTCCTCGCACTCTGGGAGGCTGAAGCAGGTGAATTGCTTGAGCTCAGGAGTTCAGAACCAGCCTGAGGAAGAGCGAGACCCAGTCTCTAAAAATAGCCAGGTGTTGTGGCAGGCACCTGCAGTCCCAGGTACTCCAGAGGTTGAGGCAAGAGAATCACTTGAGCCCAGGAGTTTGAGGTTGCTGTGAGCTGTAGAGGCCACAACACTCTACCAAGGGCAAAAGTGAGACTCTGTTTCAAAAAAAAGTACATGTTGGGTCCTCTGAGTTCTAAGAGCCCTGTCTCTGAGCCTTTTACACAGGAGATAATTACATCACTGTGAACAGTCACGTATTCACCCTAGTGGAGCTGGATTCTCTTATAGTTCTGTGTTCTTCCCTGGGTGCTCCAGGTTGGTGAGGGTTGGGCATATGGTCTGGCCAAGCTTCTCTCTGTGCAAAAGAACTGGTTTCTGCAGAGTTGGCATCAGTGCCCTCTGGTCACTTGTTCTGGTAGAGAAGCTGAGTCCACACAATGCCCAGTGGCAAAGACAGGGCAGGGTCTAGCCCACTAGGCACTATGAAGAACAGAAACAGAGAAGATGAGGCAGTCCCTGCTGGCTGGTGATCTGCTGTGGACAACCCATTTGTCCTTAGGTACAAAGCCAGAAACCATGTGAGATAAAAGAAGTACTAGTAGTTTCTGACACAGAGGACAAAAGATGGTAACAGAAGCAGAATTTGTCTAGACGGTGGGTCCAGCATCAGCCAGCTGCTGCTCTCAGCCTGAGCTGAGGAGAGAAGTTCTTGGTTAGTTACTGGCTAATTGACATTCCCAGCTCCTGCGTTGGTAAAGCTTGAGGCAGTTGTTCTCTGATCACTTTCACTGCTTTTAGTGGCCTTATAATCAGTAACTGAGAAGGGGTTACCAGGTAAAGGAATGAGATGGTGGCTGGAGGAGTCAGGTTTGGCATCATACCAGCCTGGGTTCATATCCCCACCCTGCCATTAACCAGCTGTGTCAGCTGTTAACCAACTAGGGTGATGTTCACAGATGGGCTGCTAGTGACAAAAAGGTCTTTCATTCCACCTGCTCACAGACGGCAACACACATCCTCCAGCTTCCCTTTTCGCTGCTAAGTCAGCAGGATTAGCAGAAGTACCTGCAAGGCCTGGTGCCTGCTACAGGACTGTCATCTTCATGTATCCATTACCACATGGGAACATGGGACACCTAATGACTCACAGCTAAAAGGACAGTGTTCATAGGCCTGCCCTCCTTAAGAAAGCCCTGGGCCTGGAATATGATCCCAACCAGACAAGCTTCTTTTCTAAAGGAGAAAACAATCTCCCTTCTCTCCAAGCACTGAAGGAAGAATGGCTCAATGGAACAACAGAGAACAGAGGAGAGCTGCTTCCAGCTCTGTTTACTCAGATCTGTCTAACAGCTATATAAGTTTATCCCTATTTCTCAGATGAGGAAACTGAAGCCCAGAGGTGACATTCCTGAAAGGATGGCTTTGTTAATGAACTAGCTAACAGAGAAAGATAAAATATCAAACAGAAAGTTAGAGCAATAAACTCACAGCATATAATTGCCCCTTTGAAAACTCACAGCACAGCTTTCCCCTTTGTTTTGTTTTGATGAAACACCTGGGACTCAACTTGTCTTCAAGCTTAACTTGTTATCTTTGAGAGTTTATTTTCATAGCCTTGAAGAGCCCTAAGTGGACAGCAAGGGTGCAAGTGCCTTTCTTCAGTTCCTGCCAGACCAGATTTCAAGGGCCTCTAATAAGCTGGCATTGCAGAGAAAGAGGAAAAAAGAAAAAGCAGGGTCGGCGCCTGTGGCTCATGTGGCTAAGGTGCCAGCCACATACACCTAAGGTGGCAGGTTCGAATCCCCAGCCCGGCCAAACAACATGCCAAACATGGCAAACATGCCAAACAACAATGATGGCTGCAACCAAAAAATGGCCAGGCGTTGTGGCGGGCGCCTGTAGTCCCAGCTACTTGGGAGGCTGAGGCAGGAGACTCGCAAGAGCCCAGGAGTTGGAGGTTGCTGGGAGGCTCTGTCTCAAAAAAAAAAAAAAAAAAAAAAGAAAAGAAAAAGAACTCACAGCAATTTCACAGCCATTTTTGCTATCAGTTGGCTGCAATCACTTTTTTTTTCTTTGCTCCCAAACAAAAACCCCAAGTCCCCCATGCCCTCTGTACTGACACTTCTTTCTCTTGTGTTGTGCCTTTTCCACCTTTGGTAAGTAAAATAAACTTTCTTTCTTTGAAACTTTCTGAACTTTAAGGTAACATAAACTTTTTTTTTTTTAAGGTAACATAAACTTTTTACTTCTTACGATTTTGATCTTTGCGTAAGAAACCTTTCTCAGACTGCATCGTAAGTCCCTGCCTTACCAATTCCTTATGCATAGTGATGCAGCTGGTTAATGGCAGGGTGGGGATATGAACCCAGGCTGGTGTGATGCCAAACCTGACTCCTCCAGCCACTGGTTACTCATCCTCCACCTCAGTTACTGATTATAAGGCCACTAAAAGCAGTGAAAGTGGTCAGTGTGATCAGAGAACAACTGCCTCAAGTTTTACAAGTGCAGGAGCTGGGAATGTCAACTAGCCAGTAACTAACCAAGAACATCTCTCCTCAGTTCAGGCTGGGAGCAGCAGCTGGCTGATGCTGGACCCACTGTCACAACATGTTCTGCTTCTGTTACCATCTTTTGTCCTCTGGGCAGTGTCAGAAACTACCAGCACTTCTTTTATCTCACATGGTTTCTGGCTCTGTACCTAAGGACAAATGTCCACGGCAGATCACCAGCCAGCAGGGACTGCCCCATCTTCTGTTTCTATCCCTCATAGCACCTAGCACAAACCTTGGAGTCTTTAAAATTATTATTATTTTTGAGACAGAGTCTCACTATGTCACCCTCAGTAGAGTGCTATAGCATCACAGCTCACAGCAACCTCAAACTCCTGGGATTAAGCAATTCTCTTGCTTCAGCCTCCCAAGTAGCTGGGACTATAGGCACCTGCTACAATATCTGGCTGTTTTTTGTTGTAGTTGTCATTGTTGTTTTAGCTACTCGAACCCGCCAGCCTTGGTGTATGTGGCCAGTGCCCTACCTGCTGAGCTATGGGCACTGCCCTAAAAATCATTTTTATTACAGGAAATTTCAAAAATAGTAAATAAGTAGTGTGGTCACCCAACTTAACCATCAACCCATGGACAATTTTGTTTCTTCTATGACTACACATCTTGTCCTTATTCCTCCTGCTCTTTGGACTATTTTGATTATTATTATTTATTTTTTTTAGGACACATTAAAATTTGTTTTAATACTACTTTAGGGAAAAAAAATCACACTTTTAGTGAATGAACAAAAAACATTTTTACAGTACCAGTAGGCTATTATTCTTATCCATCATGCCATGAATTCATAGGGAAGAGTTTCCAGTAGCTCATGGAGGCATCTTGCCATTGAATGTGACAAAGCATTGATTGACTTTTGAATTCATGGGAAATAGGTCCCAGCACCTTGTATCACTGTTACATGGGGTCTATTGGTTATCCTGTGTGCTATGCTGTACACCTATTATGCCATGAGCTCATGGGGAATAAATAGGTTCTTGCACCTAAAAACATGGGTCCACTGGTACTCCTGTGTGCTATGTTATATGCTTATTACGCCATGAATTCACAGGGAATGGGTTCTAGGAGCTCAGGCTCCTTCCGTTGGTTCTCACAAAGTGGGCTTCCCTGGGTGGAGCAGGCTGGCGCTTCAGTTGAACCCAGGTTCCTTTCTCTTTGGCTTCCTTCTTTTTCTGATCATTTTCCTTCACACGTTTCAGGAAGCTATCTCAGCTCTTAGAGGGCTTAATATGCTCAATAGGAACATTAATCCTCTTGGCAAGAACCTTGCCCTTAACTTGTTTGTTTACAACAATGCCAACAGCACGCTGGGTAACACTGTAGACTCTTCTAGTTTTGCCATGGAAAACTGTGTGGCCTTTTTGAACAGTACCCATTCCCTTGATGTCTACAATATCACTTTTCTTGTAGATTCGCATACATGTGGCCAAAGGAACAACTCCATGTTTTCTAAAAGCCCTAGAGAACGTGTATCAGGTGCCTCTCCTCTTTCCCTTTGTGTTTGTCATTTTGGTGAATTACTGGAAGATGGCGACTCCGGCCGAAAGGCTATTTTGATTATTTTGAATAAATCTGAGACATTATATCATTTCTTTCTTTCTCTCTTTTTTTTTTTTTTTTGAGACAGAGCCTCAAGCTGTCCCCCTGGGTCTAGTGCCGTGGCACCACAGCTCACAGCAACCTCCAACTCCTGGGTTTAAGTGATTCTCTTGCCTCAGCCTCCCAAGTAGCTGGGACTACAGGGGCCCACCACAACACCTGACTATTTTTTGGTTGTAGCTGTCATTGTTGTTTGGCACACCCGGGCTGGATTTGAACCCTCCAGCTCTGGTGTATGTGGCTGGTGCCTTAGCCACATGAGCTATAGGCACCGAGCCAAGCTTAAGCCATTCTCTTGCCTTAAGTAGCTGGGACTACAAGTGCCCACCACAACATCCAGCTATTGTTTTGGTTGTAGTCATCATTGTTGTCTGGCAGGCCCAGGCTAGGTTCAAACCCGCCAGCTCTGCTGTACGTGGCTGGTACCCTAGCCCTGAGCTACAGGCCCTGAGCCTGCCCAGCTAATTTTTTTATTTTTAGGAGACAGGGTCTTCCTCTTGTTCTGGCTGGTCTAGAAATGAGCTTAAGCAATCCCCCTATCTCAGCCTTCTGGAGTGCTAGGGTTATAGGAGTGAGCCACTGTGCCTAGGTTTCCAATTATTGTTATTGTAGTAAAATATACATAATACAAAATTTAGCATCTTAACTAGGACACCACCTCTCCCTTTAAAAACATAACCAAAATACCATTATAACATCTAAAATAAACTAACAATTGTTCAACATTTCCTCATGTATCTACATAGTGGACACATTTCTTCAATTGCCTTATACTTTAGTTTGTTTGAATTAGGATCCAAAATAAGTTTTATACTTTGTGTGTGCATGACCCACAGACACTAAAAAAACAAGTGGTGCGGCTGGTCACCTGATAGATGCATCACTGAAGGAACAAATGGAGGAACTAGTACCTGAGGTTCTTCTGCCTCCTTCCACCTCCTGGGGACACATCTGTTCAGTCAATCACTCAACAAGTATTTAGGCCATGCCAGACCTTGTTCAAGGGTGAATGAAAGTCTTTCTTTATCGTAAAAGAAATTGCACCAGAACAGGTTAAGGGTGATCAGTGAGGCCAATGTGCTAGCATCCTTTCTAGCAAACTTTTTCTTTTTTCTTTTTTTTTTTTTGAGACAGAGCCTCAAGCTATCCCCCTGGGTAGAGTGCCATGGCATCACAGCTCACAGCAACCTCCAACTCCTGGGCTCAAGCAAGTCTCCTGCCTCAGCCTCCCAAGTAGCTGGGACCAAAGGCGCCCGCCACAACGCCTGGCTATATTTTGGTTGCTGCCATCATTGTTGTTTGGCGGGCCCAGGCTGGATTCCAATCCGCCACCTTAGGTGTATGTGGCTGGTGCCTTAGCCACTTGAGCCACAGGCACCGAGCCAGCAAACTTTTTCAGTAAAGGGCTAGAGTAAACTTAGGTTCTGCAGGCCCCAACAGTTTCTGTTGCAAATACTCAACTCTACTGTTGTGGCATGAAAGCTGGCATAGATGATTAAAAGGTGGGCATAACCATGTTCCAATAAAACTTTATTTACAAAAACAGGTAGTGGGCCACATTTGGCCTGTCGACTATAATTTGCTGACTCCTGGTTTAGCAAATCACACTCTCCTCCAACATGAGTGTGTGAGTCGCTGGTTATTTAGGGTGAGGGGCAGGACTGAAGTATGTGGAGCTGACACTGCTCAGTGAAGAGGCAAGTGAAGAAAACCTGCATCATACAATGGAAGTTTCAGACCCATGTATTCTCACCATTCAGATAGTGTAGAAACCAAGGCATTGTCACCCAAGCAGAGTGCAGTTCTCCCAGCTCAGCTTGAAGGCGCAGAGTGACATTAAAATCCATTGGGAAGCCCTTGGAGGTGCCACTTGCAGTGAAGTCGCATTCCGTCACTGTGATTTGTGTACAATTCACCCCCACGATGTCAATGTCGGACCAATCACTAAATGTGCTGGGAAGGAAAACAGGATTTCAATTCACAGAATTCGCTCTTCTTCTTAAAACAGTTTCCCCAGAGCTGACTTTTTTTTCTTTAATTGAGACAGAGTCTCATTATGTCACCCTCAGTAGAGTGCCATAGCGTCATAGCTCACAGCAACCTCAAACTCTTGGGCTTAAGTGATTCCTTGCCTCAGCCTTCTAAGCAGCTGGAACCACAGGTGCCTGCCACAATGCTCAGCTATTTTTTGGTTATAGTTGTCACTGTTGTTCGGCAGGCCCAGGCTGAGTTCAAACCCGCCAGCTCCAATGTTATGGAGCTGGCACCCTAGCTGCAAAGCTATAGGCGCCAAGCCCCAGAGCTCATTTTTCAAAAACAGCATTATTGAGAAATGATTCATGTACCATATAACTTTCCCATTTTTTAAAATAGTGTATGGGCTCGGCGCCTATAGCTCAACCGGCTAAGGCACCAGCCATGTACACCTAAGGT